AGAGATAGAAAAATAGATAGATAGAGAGAGAAAGAGAGAGCGAGAAAGAGAGAGAGAGGGGGAGAGAGAGGGAGAGAGAGAGACAGTAAGGAAGAGAGTGTGAGAGAGTATGTGCTGGAGTGCAGTTCAAGCAATCCTCGCTCAACCCCAAAAGGAACATTCCTGAACCTGGGCAGATCGAGAGTGTTTTATTTCCCCTTACCCACGTAGCACGCACAAGAAGGCGCTAATAGAATATTTTATGTGCTAATAGAATATATTGCGTCTTAAGGAACAACTGATGATTTTGAAAGGGAGGCTTTAAAAAACTCGAAACAACAGCATTCCTCATTCCATATCAAACCGGAATCCCTTCCCCCCCCCTTAAAAAAGACATTATTTTCTTTTCTTTCAAATGCATGTGTTTTTTACGTCCCAATCGACACAATTTAGATAAGCCAGGAGGCAGGCTTCGACCTTGTTAGGGCCAACCAGGCCTGAGAGGGATACAGCGTCCCAGCAGAAAGACCCAGCCACTCGATACAAATTCTCTCCACACAGGAATGGACCCCCGGCCTATACGTTCTTATACAAAGTCTGAACGTCTTGACCCCGGGCCTTCTGCGTGCGACAGCAAAGCGCCTAACACAGACGTTACACCACAGACGCCGGTCAAAAACACGCTGCATTCGAGAAGCAAATCAAAGCTCAGTGTAAGTAAGAGTATCAGTTTACCGCCCCTATCAGCACTATTATGTTATCTACGAGGCATGCCATCGGAATTAACGCTCGACTATGCTATGACCGAGCCAAATAGACTGCGAACCTTAAAAACTCAGCAAAACAACCCAACTTCAACAACGCCCAGTGTGGGATTCGAACCAGGGCCTCCCGCTACGCAATCGAACATGGAACCAACGAAGCTACGGGCGCCTACCACCAGTCAAAAAGACGGATGTAATCAAGAAGCAAATCAATACCTTAGAGTTCCAAAGTTCTGCCTGACATTTTTGGCCGTTTCGAATTACTAAGACCAAGAGGTCAGAAACCGAATGCTTTGTTATTTGCTCTATCAAATTCGTAATATTCTTCAGAGTCGTCATCAAGATATTCAAAGAACTGCATTTGAAAAAGCTTGACATGTTGTGACACTAAAACTTTTTAACGTTAAATTTCTCAAAACGAAGTATTGAGCAGATAGAACTTGACAATTCTGGGGTAGCGAAATTATGTACGTCCTAGATCATCAACCTGCACTGACCTGCGCAGACATAGAGATGCTCGCCCCGCTCTCCTTCCTTGATAATGTAGCACGCCTTGGGCACGCGCTTCTCGTACATGCAGTCGATGATCTCACGGAGCTGCGTGGCCGCTAGCACTTTGATGAACTCGTTGCTCAAGATGGCGTCTTTGATTAGCTGTTTCGATCTGAAGAGCACCAAATAATAATAATAATGATAATGATAATAATGATGATGACGATCATGATACTACTACTACTACTACTGCTACTACTACTGCTACTAGTACT